ATGTCAGAATACTTTTAATGCATCCTCCCATCTTCTGCAAAATTAAATATAAATTAAAGCTTCCAGGGCAGAGCCGTCTTTTTCTTTTAAAGACCACTGCTGGTAAACACTTCATATAATGATGAAGGCAGGGACTAGTCTGCATCTTTCCAGGAACAGCTGTAAATCAGACCTACTTTGGGGTCAGTAAAGGCACATATACTTGTGCATTCGTAGTTTAATCTATTCATACTTTAATCTAGAATGAGAGAGTAGGGTCTGTTCTCTGCATTTGTGCATTTTTCTCCAAGAACCTAAGCAAATATCATAAGGATTGATGTAGTTTATTGTGTCACATAAATAAATAAATAAATAAATAAGCCCCAAACTCTAAAACATTTCCCATGCTCATTTTCCTAAATTACTGTGCTAAAGCATCTATTAACTTTCACCTGCTCATTCAATCTCTATGTGAGAATAGCAGTACATTATCATTTCTTGAAAACACAATTAATGTTCATTCCATTGTACTAATGGATCTTAATCAAATGTGTGGAGCTTTGTATCCAACACTCAAACAATGAAACTGTACCTAGCTGACTAGGGAATAAAGGATCTATTATGCTGGCACTTCTGTTTGAATAAAGGTAATGCCAGAAACTTTAGAGACACCAATGGTTGTTAGCCTATTTAGAAGCTATTTAAAATCTAATAATCAGCAACCCATAACATCGAAAATGTATAAATTCATACAGAAACGTAATTGAATGCATGGGTTCAGAAAAGAAATTATGCTCAAGTCCAGAGTCTAGGATGCTTTTTAAAGCATATTCCATTTGAGAGTCTATTGATGAAGTGAATACAATGGGATTGAACAGAAAAGAATGGGGAAAAACTGTTTTCCCTCTCCTTGCTAATGCCTCTCATGGGAAGGCTCTTTTCTAGTCTGATTTTTTAACAACCAGCTGGGAGTGCTGAATAGAAGTGGAGGTGGAACCTCTTTGGGGTTCCTTATGCCAAAAATCTGTACATGATGCCTGTCACTGTGCCAGAAAGACATCTCCAGAGCAGAGCTCCCAGATTTATAGGAGTGACTCCAATGAATGCATTTCCTCCTTGATATATAGCTGAAAGACTTAAGTATTTCTCTGGAAGGGTGTAAATTTACACTGAATTCTCACATTACGACATTACTTACATTAATGAAATCTTGGGGAAGAGGGTAAATAGAAAGGCTATGGAAATAATTTTGAAGCCGATATTCATAGTGATTAAGCAATTCTCTGAGGTTTTGATCCTTTAAAGAGGAACGAACATAAACTTTAAATCTGCAACTTGTCACACTGAAGAAAGTTCTGTGGCTGCAAGTGACATTGTTTTTATGTTAACAATGATCGTGGCTAAAGTTAGACTGCGATCATTTTTAAGCTTGGATGTGCAGATTTCTTCTTTTCTCATAAAAAGCCTAGATTTGCTATATATTTGAGATGACAGAGCTAAGCCAGTTGTCTGAGGCTGTTGTACACTAAAATTGTTTTTCACTCTTGACAGTTGGTTAACACAGCAAGTTCCCCAGCCAGCTGACCAGCTGAAGGTTGAGAGAAATGCCATGTTTAAAGTGCTTCTTTTTACTTGTCTTTGTGCAATGTGAAGAAAAAAAATTTTAGCCCCCATCCCAAGGTCCCATTGGTTATATTTGCACATCTGCATTTAAAGAAAATAAAATATCCCTGGTGAATGACTTGTTTTCAGTATAAAGAAAGGAGATTGCACAAGAGAAACTATTACATTGCAGAGATCTCTCTGGAGCTTGAGATGTTGGGACTGGAGCACAAAATGGCATTTAGGAGCCATAAGAGCTCACTCTACTAATGGTTCAGCTCAGAGTATAGTGCTCCTATCCTTTTTATTCACTCAACTGAATTTATCACTATGACCCATAAAACAGTTATCAGCACCTACAGGGCAAAGACACCCTGGATTCAGCTGGTACTTACCCCAATTGCATGCTTAAGCCGAGATCTGTAAAGGTGTGTCTCCTCTGTTGCCACTCACAGGGAAGCTGCTGGGGCTTAGCTGCTCTGCTGCATCATGAAGACTATGCAGTCAAGAAGGACATTATGGGATCATGCCCTTATTTCAGCATTTTGGACACATCTCTGCAGGGGAGAGTAAAAGGCTGTATTTCACAGCTATGATATCATTCTTGTAAGCTATATTTCAGCATGAGCCACTATAAAACCTTTCCCATGACATCAGAGCTGTGAAATATAGCTGACTTCAAGTGCAGAAAATTCCCCTGCAGGAATAATTGTTTCCTGGCAATTGGCATTTGAAGGACTGATCCTTTAAAAGGCTGGCACAAATCCTGTCTAGGTAATGCTGCTCCAGGCAGCACTTCTCAGGAAATGTTATGTGCAGGAGTAGAGGTATGGAACCCCACCATGGGATTTGGCCATAAGGGTAATGGAATGAGCACTGGAGGAGTCTGTCAGGTGAGGATTTTCACTCCTTATGCCTCAGCAGTCCACACAGACTTCACTAATAGCAAAATGATAGGTTTGCTCATATGCTGTGCTCCCTGCCTCAGACTCTACCTCCCCAGTAAGGCAAGTTGCATGTGCACCACCAGAGCTACACCATCTAATCCATCTTTTCACATCTGCCCTCCAACACAGATCATCCTGATGATACGTGCATGCTGATACATGGCAGCTCACTGGGTCTGCCACTGCTCAGGGCACTACTTAACTCACCTGGGCAGGCCCCAACCTCCCCGCAAAGCAACTTCACAAGAAAATGGAAATCAAAAATATTGTGTGAGACACATTTTCTTCTTTCATATCACATGAAGGAAAATGTCGATCAGAGTACAGTCCACTCAGAGTCAAGGTTTGAGTGGATTTTGGCAGATTTGTAAAGGACAAGATCCCATGCAGGTCAGAAGGGTACAGGAGGAGGATAAGAGAGACTATAGACAAAGAGAGAGTCAAGGCCACCTCAGCTCTCCCTACACTGGTACCTGAATCTGCTGCCCATGTCCCCCACCAGTGACCTGCACACTAGTTTGGCACTGCTCCATCAATTGCACTGAAGGCAATTGTTGAATACATTGTAAAGCTTAGTCATGCTGGCTTTTTCTGTTCATTCTCTGGGAAGGTCTTGTACTGGTCAGCAGCTCTGTTCTTGCTGTTCTGTGTGTACGTGTTTATGTGTATGTGCGCGTACACTCATGTAGTGTCTCTCTCACAACACTTAAAGCTGTATGTGGACACAGCTCCCATGACCTTCAGGACAGAGTTGTTTTTACGCACAGAAAGCTCACTGGCTCACAAAATCTGACTAGAAACCTTCCCTTTTCTCCAGAGAAAAGTACACTTCTTCAGAATTAATTGTGCCTTTTCCATTTTCCTCTTAAGGCTGAAAAACTGACTCCTTCTCACCCAGAAGTTACCCCTTAACCTCTTTTACCTTGTGAAGCAGTAAAGCAATATTGTTTGAACAGTCCTGTTCCATTACCTACTATTCATATAAAAGTTAAGGGGTATTTCCTTGTAGAAAATTATTTACTAACAGGAACTGTAAGAGACTTGAGATTATTTTATACAATTTATTACTAACAACAACAACCACCAGAAGAACAGCTAACTGGAAGCATTGTATGTGTTTTAACTCTGTCAGTGTAGCTCAAAGGCTAAATTCTGTCTAATGTACACTTTTAAAAAAAACAAACATATAGGGGGAAAAATGGTCTTTGATATAGAATATGATCCAAGTAGTGTTGCGTTAATTGCTTAAAAAGTCAAACAAAAATTGTCTTTGCAATTTGGTATAGTCTTTTTTTACAAATATTGAGAGATGCTGTACTGAATTTTGAGCTGGTTTCAGGATGATTTATGGGTTTTGATGAGAATACTGAATAAAACCCAAAACTTTCTCAAAGAGCATCAATGAAAAAAGAAACGAAAATAATCAAATGATCCTTCTCTCGGAGTATGGATCTGTTTGGACTAAAAATTTATCAGTGTGTTTATGTATGTTATGGAATGTTTCTATCAACTAATTATAAAATGTTCAGCTGTTAGTTAGGCATTTTGCATGACTGGTTACCTGAGACACGTAGTATAATTTCTTCCTCCTGAATAGAAGGTTCTAGCTTTTTAAAAATAGGAGAACTGTCCACAGTATACTAGGGTACAATATGCATAGCTTTTTGCATGTTGAAAATTATGAGGTCTTCAGAGATAATTTTGTAATTATTTTGTAGGTACACAGGTCTTTACTACTAATGGTAGGAAGCAGTAGCTAGTAAAAACCCACAGGTAACAATGATCAGCTGGGGTTTTTTTGTGTTTTTAGAAGTTATTAGTGAAAACATTTACATATATAACTAGGTATTTAAAGATTCAAAACTCGGTGCAATACTCTGGCAGTAGATAATGAGAAAAGCAAAGTGTCCATTTCCTATGCAGTAACAAACAGGTCTAGTATGTGTGAGATACTGACAAATATGCTCATTTTTTTCATCAACCTGTTTAGCTGGCTCTTTGTAAATGAAATCAAAGGTAAAACACACTAAATATGAGGGATTGAGTTATCGAAGTCCGGTCTCTTCAACCTATAACTATAGCAACATAATGCCTCCTGGGAAGACAGTGTACACTTTTGCTAGCACTTCTTTGATGTTATAAGGTAACCTGATCAAGATCCCCAATCAAAAAGTTATCAGTTACATCCCAAAGCTCAGGCAGTAAAAAGAAAAATGCCTGATTTGCCTTTGTTGACAAAGGGAAGCAAAAGGAGTTACAGGGCACCCCCCTCCCAAAACACCCTACATCCAAACATCATGACTCCTTCTTCTTACTCAATTTAGAGTCGCTCAGATTATTTGAAGGACCATTTGCAATATTTTGAATCAGAAACAGCCCAGCTTTTTGGCAATCATTATTACTCATCTGTTTGCAGTCATGACAGTTAAGTACCTTTGGAAATGCTAAAAAAGTTGTTATTTTTCTTTTCAGAACTCCTTTGAGACTGCAAAGACTTTTTAAAGAAGGAGGACGGCATGACATTGGATTCAGTGCAGTAAAGCAGGTTACTTTGAGAACAAGACAAAAAGTAATTATTTAGACTTCCTTGTGTTGCCATGATGAGAACTTACCATTGCTTCTGGCTGCTGTTTTGGGCTAGTCAGCCCCATCAAAGCTTCTTAACTCCGTTATCCAAAAGGACTAGTGGCTTTCCAGAAAAGGAAAAGGTTTTGGTATTGTCTGGAAACAGCAGGCAAGACCTCCATCGTTCCAAAAGGAGCTGGATGTGGAATCAGTTCTTTTTATTGGAGGAATACACAGGAACTGACTACCAGTATGTTGGCAAGGTAAGCTTCTTTCATACGCATCTAAGATTTGATTTTAGAAATGTTGGAAAGCCAGCAATAACAAGTAGGTAAGAACAAAGCCTGCTACAACTTTTAGTTCTCTTTCCTGTGTGCCCAGCTTCTGCTGGTTACCTTTCAGCAGAAAGGTTAGTATGCTTCAGCTTCAAATTGTAATCAACAGGAAGACGTTCCTCATTTAACCAGGAAGTTTCATGGCAAATCATTCACAATTCTGGTTAAAGATCTTCCTTTTTATTTTTTTGTCTGGAAGGCCAGATTTTTAGCTTTAAAATGTAATATGTATTTACCCTCATGCTTGATAAAAATGAGAAGAGGTTTTGGTCTAAATTAGGATTCACAGTACTCACATTTTTGGTGAGGATTCTCTCTACCCAGCAAAGGCGATTTGTTTCTTTTTATTCCACACTGCACACAACAGTGCTGCAACCATTTTCTGGTGAGGTTTCGTGGTTTCACTAAGGACTCTGTGACATGACCTTCATACCACAGGCTATGCTATTACAAACCACGGTTGAAGCGGACTGTGTGTATACACTACGAAGCAACAGGCAGCTGAAAATTTCTGATCTCAAAGCATGCTGACAGTTAGAACAGGGTCTGTAAAATTTTATTTAAAAAAGAAAAATCACAGCTTAATGCTGAGAATGTCCACCTCCCTGAGCAATAGACCCCGTGTAGGTAAGAACCTTTATCTGAACTTCAGAGCTAGTGCACCTGTGGTAAGAGTCTAGAGAGAGTCTATACTGCCGAAGGTGCCATACTCTATAGGAATCTGTCCTGCAGAATGCAGAAATTATGCTATTGATGATGACATTTAAGGCAGAAACAATACAGCTTGGTTTTCCAAACTAAAATGGGGTTGTGTCTGATCTAGTTTGATCTCTCAAGCCTCTTAGCAAAGGCTGCAGATCACAGTAGTTTGACATTTTATCTCCCTCTGCAAGTTTCTGAGCATTCCCATGAGAGATGGTGGCTGCTTTTCTTGCCTGCCAGTCAGCTGTCAGTCAAAGTTGGATGCCACACTCCTTTCCTCCTAAATGGCTGCAAGGCATGATTCAAATGAAGAGCTAGTCAGCTAGTGTAATATTCATAGAGCTCCAACCAGGATAATCAGCATTCATGAAGGGTACCATTGAGCCCAATCTACAGGAAAAGGCTAAAGGCAGAGAGTCCTCAGAGAGGGGAAGTAGAGAAGGAAGATAAGAGGGTAAGAAAAAAAGCCAGAAGAGAGTAAGAGGAAAGAACTAGAAAGACAGGTGTAAAGAATGGAGACTTTACAAAGAGGAATCAAGATGGAAAGGAGAGAAAAATGACATCAAATGGCAGGTAGAGAATAGGAAAAAAAGTTTACCCCAAAAGAGCAAAAACAAAACCAGAAGATGAGACAGCAAAGGGGAAAAAAAACCAACAGGTGAGAAACCTTGAGTAAAGGAGAAGGGAAAACCAGTGGAAAGACAGCAGTCCTCCACACACTCTCCTGTTTCATAGTCTACTGAGGGGGTGGTCAGGGTAATGGGGATCTCTTTCTCCAAATATAAAGCATGTGGTCCTGGGCCAAGTCCTACAGTCTGTCATTTTCACTGTGAATTCTGACATTAAAGCCTGCTCAGCCCCCATTCTCTCCACTGCAGAATTAGAGTAGAGCTATTGACTTCAGAGGGAGTGATGGGGGAGCGAATATTCCTGCAGGATGATTTTGCTGAGAGACAGTTTAAAAATGGTCTACCTGGACCAGAAAGCCAAGAAAGTTTGAACAGGAGACATCGAAAAAAATGTAGATCTTATTTTTTTAAAGTTGTTCTTCCACCTATTTGTACTTAAATACACTTACTGTTTCAAAGCACAGAAACAACACATAATGTATAAATGTCATTGATTCTGTGTTCCTCAGCTATTCACATGTGGCCTTTCACACATCTTTCAAATGCCAGAATTGCTTACACCCTTATAACTGAACAATTAGCCACAAGGCATGGAAAAACAGCCATTTATTTTTAAAGTTGGGTATTGGTGTGAGGATAAATGATAGAAACAGCTGAATTTCTCCAAACTGAGGTAACCAGGCAATTTAACTGAGCAATTAAACTTGATTGGTATGGGCAAATGAGGATAATGAACATTTTTATGAAGCTTTTTTTTTCAGAGGACTAAATGTTAACCTTAAATATGGACTTAAAAATAGTAGGAATGTAAAGAAGAAATGTGAACCTCAAAATCTCTTAAAACAACAACAATATATGTACGTAAAGGGGACTTGTGCTTATGTGTTACTATGTAAGCAGTCAGACCTGGATCTTCTGGGCTATTTTGTGTTTAGTGGTTAAAGCTGGTGGACATTAACATCATTAAAAAAAAAAAAGATTCCATATAAGCTACAAAAACCATCTTTTTCTTGAGCTGGTTTTACTTTTACCTTTTCATTTTTTTAAACATCTGTTTAATCCAAACATCCACGTAAAAATTCAAGATATAAGAAGTCTGTCTGAAATCTGAAAGATTTTAACAAATGGCATTAATTCTATGAACTACCCAAATTACAGCTGTAAAATCCTGTAACTGGTTATACTACTATTTACATCATAGTAGTTTAAGAGAGAAGGGAAAGAACAGTGGAAGGGAATGTGTTCAGGTTTGAGATAATAAAAAAGAAAGTAATCGCTCTGAAGACAGAGCTCAAGGCAGTACTGAAGACAGTGCTGAATCCAGGTCACAGACCAGGGCACTGTTGTGCTCCGTACCCTGTATATTCTTTATCCATTGAACCCAAAACTTTACATCTTTTAGGAGTTAATTACCCAAACACATCTAAAACAAACTAGCCCTTTTTTTGGTACCCATGGGTACTGTCAGCTGTTAAAAAGTGCTCCCCAGTTTTTTATGCTACAGACATTATTGTCAGCCCAAATACGCAGCTGTATCACACTGGACAAGGATACCTGGCTGCCAACAAGAAGCTCACAGTGTTATAAATACAAGTTGATTGTATGCTGTAGCTCTAACACCAGATCCTTTGTTTTATTACCCATTCTTGTATTCCTGAATGTCATTCCTGTATATTTGTGAAATAAAATCTTTTAAAAAGAATCGAAATTCATGCCTCCAGTCACTGTAGCCTCAGACTTAATAATGAGGAACTTGAAGAAAAGTTCTAGACTGGAATTATTCATTGCAGTGCTGAATAACTTGTGAACTACAGCTATGCATTGAAGTGTGACTGATGGGCACAGTGACATTTTAACCTGAAGATATCTTTTCTTCCGGTTCAGAAATTATGGCACTTGGCAGGGACTCAGTCCTGAAATAAAATAAAAGAATTACGTGAGCATTAAAGTAGAGAAGCGTCTAGCTCTACTACCTTGCCAAAATTTGCAGCATTTGGGTTTTAAAAGTGATCTAGTTGTACCACTGGATGCTTAGTACAATTTTATAGAGGTGGGGTGAATGCATCTTTAAATCACAGGTAAACAATGAAGTGGTAGTGCAGCTGTATATAGAAATATATGCTACATTCCCTAGAGATCTACAGATATTCCAGGGAAAAAAAGTGAAAAAATCTGCCCTGTTCCAAGATTATACTCAAAGGTATAGTTACTATTTGTACGCACTTGACAGCTTTTCATGGCTACATAAAATCCATGAACTGGCATCCACCACTGAGGTTAGAGCACAAATCTAGAAATCGTTGTTATATAAAGGGACAGGATGCCACTTTCTTTAGGACTGAGGAAAGATCTGAACAAGTCTTAAATCTTACTCATTAATCCAGAAACAACTTCTGGCATCCTACAATGGAAAGGACCAGCTTGCTTTCCTGGTAACAACAGGCACAACTGTGGAACAGTTTTGTAACACTCTCTGTCTGGCACTAAGAGGAAACTTTCAGACATACTTTTCATTTTTGCTGTGTCTTATTGATGTTCATATAGTTCAAGCATAATGCTCGCCGGAAGCTATCTGATGTTACTACCTGTACAACCCATCATAAACAATCAACCTCTGCTGACAACTCCATTTTTCAAGGCAGATAAAATCAAAGTCCTGCTGGTATGTGGTTTGGCAAAGCAAAAAGGATACTGTGTTACTGTAGCCAAACCCAGAAGCCTTTTGTTTCGTGTTGAAAAAGCTACTGTTAAATTCCCCTCCATCAAGAATGGTTTAAGGTACTGTTGATCCTGCTTTGGAGGAGAAGGGGATCAACTAAATGTTATCACAGTATAGTTTCAGTACTATTTCTCTGTCTTTTGTCTGATTTTACTTCTGGATACAGTTATTCTGAAGGCAAGCAGAGCAGCGTATTTCACCAGAAGCAAATCAAACAAAAGACAGAATCTCCCCAAGCCATTGCAAGTAAAGGGAGTAAGCAACGTACTTAGTTAAAAGTATCTGACTGTGAGCACATACAATGGGCTATTTAAACAAAGAAATTAATTGTCATGTAATACAGTCCATGTAGTACAGTCTATGCCTTTTCAGCATGTGAGGTAGTAATGGGTCACATTACTCCAGCGGTTAAAAGGTATCGTATCTTAATTGGATGTCATGATAACTATCAAGAAAAATCTTCACATTCTCTCAGATCTTTAGTATGCTAGTATTCTGTTCTTACCTTCAAAATTTTTGTTCCCCCAAAAAAGCAAGATGTGAAAAGTCAAACCAAAATGACTCCCTGTCTGCACTTTTAACCTTCTTTATGCAGTTCAGCTGGGAAACACTTGCTCAGTATTTGTTTTCGTTGCCTTGCAGCTCGCACTATGAGATGTGCCTGATGCCTTCAGTTTCCTGTTCCAAACACAGTGACTAATTGTTACCTTTATGAGGCCTAAAGTTAAAAGTTACCCTTGTAACTTCTATTTATTCAGGGAGCATACTCAAAGCAATTTTCACTTTGTTTTTGATGCTCAGAATATCCTGTCTCATGGTTCAGATTCTGCATTCTGTATTGAGAACTGGCAGCCCAAGAGCCAATCTCAGAACGACCT